GTGAAAAGCAATGTTTAATTCCATCTCCAGGCAGCCATTGAGAGTTTCACACCTTTCCCTCTGGCCACTCAGGCGCACATTGCTATGGCAACTGAGCACTCTTAACCTTCTGACCCAATGGTTCGTTGAGCTTCACCACCACTAACTTGTTTTGTATTATTCCAGATAAAAATACATAAGGATTTTCTTCATCCATCTAAAGGGAAGGGCAGGGTTAGTAAGCTGTTTTAACACTGATCAAAAATTGACATTTTTATTTCTAAGAATATTAGCCTTTGATAAGTCCTGCCATAAATGGAGTTTTACGTCGTGTAAAGCAAATTTCTGTCTGAAATCCAGGAATTCTCTATTTTCAAAATGAGTGCCTAGATTTACAATGACTTTCCATGAGTGAAGTGGAAAGACAAACTCAGCAGGCGGGAGAGTGTGAGCTGTGGCAGTCCATTTGGCTGTTCAAAGACAGCTGAATGAGGTGTCTCATGCTGTTTACATTGGCCCGAGTTGATTAGACATTCATTAGAAAGCATGGCTGTCAAATGAGAGATGCATGCTGTCGTAATGTTTGCATAAGGCTTTTGTGTTGGCTTAGATATCTGTGTTATGTTTGGAGTAGTGTCAGGGTGTCAAGACTTCTCCATCTGTGTGCTTATTGACATGTTGATGTTGTCGTGAATTGCTTGTGTATGTGGGAGATTGTCTGTGTGTCTATTAATCAGTGAGTATTACATTTAAACCAAAGACTGAGAGCTACACAAGCTTAACATTATCCTGCGTGCCCACTGGACTACCTAATGTAGATTCAACATTCTGGATCATTTCAGGAAGCATATGGTCTTTCAGTTATTAATAACTCAGCAGCACCAGCAGCAGCAGCAGCATTACGAAGATCAATAACAACCATAAGCTCCGTTATAAGACAGACTCCAATGTTTGCTGGATGGATAGAGCGACTCATAATCCAACTTCAAAAAATCCAATTTAGCTGTGTGTTTGTGTGTGTGTGTGTGTGTTTGTGTGATGATCTACAATCTAGTCAATCACAGGGGCTACGCACCTGTTTAATATTTACTGCAACCATCAACTAAATGCTAAGTTTCTCTGTCTCTAGCTCTGCTCCACCACAGTTCATGTTTAAAATTCTTTCTCGCTTTCCAATTACAGTATACAACACAACTGGGTACATCCCTGTGCAATATCACTACAATGTTAAATATTCAGAACTGTGTCATGCAATAACTGTATTATTTTATATTTAAAAACAAGCAAGGTTAGAAATTCAGGCCCCACAGGACAAGCTCACTGTAGTTTCTAGTTAAAGGTAATTACACGAACAAAGTAATAAAATAACCTGCAAACGACCACAGCTTCCTCAGTTTTAACGTGGTAATGCAGCACGGCCCCACATGGTGAGGAATAAGTGAAGAACCAGACTGCAGCAGCGGTTAGGAAGTATAGGAAGAACCAATGACAGAAGGCGGAGTAGCCGTTCAACGAGAAACGACGCCACAATGTCCAAGAGGAAACCAACTGCTCACTAAACTGCAACATTAAACATGAAATGAGGCCTGTTGAATATTGGCAGCACATGAAAGCAGAAATAAATTTGTCTGGATCAGATGAGGTCCAGCGTGTTTGGCGTGGACCTGGCCAGGACTGAGCAGTGCTCACTGTGAAACATGGAGGTGGGAATGTGCTGATATGGGGCTTCTATTTTAAAGAGACAGGTAGAGCAACAAAACCCCCTCCAGAAAAGAACAGCAACATGTGATGAATGGTTGAACATCTCTCCGCAGATTTCTACAAGACTGGTATCATCCATGCTCAGGAGAGTCGAGTCAAAAATAAAGTCTGACGTAAAATATTTAAAAAATTAATGAATATCAAACATTTCTGTTTTTAAAAGTTAACTGGCTTCTGTCTTCTCTTGCTAAAAACAAATTATTAAATGGACAAGCTCTGTAATTAACATTTTAGTGATACTAGCCTGGGGTGTGCTCAGTTTTGTTGTATACTGTATTTGAAGAGAATCAACCCCTGGAAATCTATTTAATGACAGGCTTGGCAACGGTGGCTCAGTGCGAGTAATCCCATCTAAACAGTTGTGTTTTAAGACTTAAGAACCTTATTTTTTGACAAGCAGTGCGCCTGTAGGCAGTCAGAGACAAACACTCACACATCCACAGAAGCACAGCGCTGGTGGTTGTTAAATTTAGTCTTCAGGCCACTTCAAAATAGTAGATAGGTTGCATCGCCTCAAATATCGCAGAAACATGCGCGCGCACACACACACACACACACACACACACACACACACACACACACACACACACACACACACACACAGAAAGAAATCCCAGATTAAGTTGTAAAGAATGAAATACATACAAACATTCGTAAGTCAATAACTAATGTAAACACTGAGGGTAACCATGAGAAGGTAAGGCATGAAAGAGACGGAAACGGAGACGATGACTTCAGAGGCAGGAAAAAAGGTCTTGACCGGAAAAATATTAAAAAATTGGTGATTTTAATGCCACATCTGCCTCGCACAGTGCAGTCACATGTGAGGTGACAGGAAGAGAGCGAGGGAAATAATGCCTGCCTGCCTGAGAGAACACACGGACGCCCCGGAGGTCTATTTTCTCCTCTCTCTCGGCCTTCTTGGGCTGACTCTGGGATAAAAAGAGAAAAATGCTGCATCTTTTGACAAATGGGTCATGCTTTGTTTGCATTTACCTCCGAAACAAGGGAGGGAGAAAGAGGAGGAGATGGAGGGGAGCAGCCACGAGAGGGAAGGCGGAGTCTGTTAGTACAGTGCATTTCCTCTGCATGACCATTAAACACACTGGCACTCTGACCCCATGCAATGACTCAACATCACTTTTACTCACCCTGGCAGCCTTGGGCTTCTCTATTATTCTCAGCCTCGTGCTCTACTGTACAAGTCTTGAGCGGAGGCATAATCCAGGGTTATACAGTAAAATGCAAACTGCGGTGAAAACAACGGCACAGCCAGGCTAGAACAATTCCTGCATTCTTCTTTCCTTCATCTTTTCTTGTACACAACCCCCCATCCACCCCCACCTCCCCCCCTCGCATTTCACTTCCTCATAGTTTTTCCTGCTGGGAAAATAGACGGGTGTGCACGATGCCACCGAGGGCAGCAGCAGGGGGGCAGAATGTCGGCCCTCTGCTGAACCAAACAGGGGCAGGGGCTGGAAGGCACAAACCATCACACTGTCTGATGTGAAATTCTTTCTGAATGCGTTATGAGCTAGTCCAACTGTTGTAGGTCTTAAAAGCCACGGCAAAGTGGAGCCACAGGGTCTGGGTTTTGAGCGCAACATTTTGTTGATTTTTACCAGTAAAAATGGGTGACCTTTATGGAAAAAAAATAAAAAGGACAATGGGACAGAAAAACATAACCCAAATGAAGGTGGAAAATAAAAAGGTGGTAATTAATGCTTTGCACAATAAAAACCATAAATTAACATATTTTATTCATGCAGTTTCAGTAATCATAATCCTTGTATGAATGCCCCACAAACAGTCAGTTTGTCCCAGTGTCTAAGTGATTTGTCACTGTCTTCAATTCTCTCATTAGCTTTATTCTATAAAGATAAACTTTCACCCTACCACTGCTTTATGTATAGTAGGCATTTAAACAAAAAGGAGTTTATATGTTAAGATATTGTAGAGTTTTAGATGCAGCCCAAGTAAAAATTGATTTTGAGTTGCACAAATATAGTGTTTTACAATGTTATATAAAACCAAAATTCAGCTATTTTTTAACAATTACTGAAAACGGTGCATCCTGTACCAGCTGTCACTAAACACACACAGAGGATCTACTCGGGTCACTGTTGTTGAAAATATGGCACATTCTGTATGTGATGCTTAATGACATAAAAAGGGAAATGGAGTGGGTGGGAGGGCTGAACACACTCTTCCCAGCAACAGTGGGGGTTTTTTTGTGTGTTCTGTCTTTGTGGATTCAGCTTTCTTGACACTGGTCAGTCTTTAAAGGGATTCACACCACAGGTGAAATGTTGTGCATTTGCCTTGTGAAAATGGTTTGTTGTAAACCAAGCGGTTATTAAGGGGCGAGGGCAGAGTGGGAAGCGAATGCTGTTATGTTTTTCATAACCAATTCAGGATCGCCAGGAGCCAGAAACACAGCCTGTCTAGAAGCAGGGGAATCATAGGCCCACGCCATCCGGCCACTGTGACACGGCTCACATGGACACATACATATAAATATAAACATAGCCCACAGAGGCTGTTTGCACACCCATGTGCAACCTCACCTAGCCTGGAAAATAGTTATTAGAATGCCAAACCATCATTTAATTATCTCTGTTCACTGACGACATTCATTATCTTCATTGTAATCAGAGCAAGAATAATCTTTATCATTTCCCTAAACCCCAGAGAATCCCTCTATTTTGGCATCTTCTAATTGGATATGCGTCAGAGCTGAATTGATGGTATTAATGTAGATTTGACAGCTACTTCCCCGATCTCTCCTACAATGACACACTTATTCACAATTGGGCTTCTGAGCAAGGAGACATTATCAATACTAAATGGCAACTCTTTCTTGGCAGTGTCTGTCACTGTAGTGGAAAAAAGCATTGTCACTGCAAGCAAATATCTATCTATCTATCTATCTATCTATCTATCTATCTATCTGTCTATCTATCTATCCATCTATCTATCTTAGTTGACTGTCCATCAGTCACTGGGAAAAGAATATTGTCTGTGCAAGCAGGGCTCTCTCTCTCTCTCTCGTTCAAACACACATACGCACGCGCACACGCACAGCCAAGCTTGGCTGCATCAAAGAGTGGTACTTCTTTGACTGGGCTGCAAGCACACTGACGTGCTGCTCCTAGCGTCGGCACCTTGCAAGCACAGCAGTCACCTTCCAACCTCTGCGACTCTCCTCCGCGCTCCGCGCTCAGTCGCAGTTATTTTGCAGGACGGACAGAGGACTGGCTGACTGATTGGCTGACTGGCTGGCTGGCTGACTGACTGACTGACTCACCGACTGTCCGCTTCGCTTCGATCGCAGCATCTGGGGAGTTTCGCACACTGCCACCGGGAGCGTTTGCTTTCGCTACCCACAAAAGAGTCTATGCTCCAAAGAAAAAAGACACGCGGCTGGTCGCTTTTCCGAGCCAGAGAGGGCTGCCGCGCGTCCTGGTGATGAGGCTGGTGGCGCGCAGCCGACACAGTATTAAAGGAATCCCTCTGTATCTGAAGAAACCGCCCCAGTAAAGGCACCAGAACGGGGGGGAAGAGCAGCGGGAACTAGTGTCGGCCGGGACGCTATCATTTCGACAAGGATGCATCTCTTCAGTGCCATGTTCCTACTTGTGATGTTAGCTGTCATGCCCTGTGAGGTAAGGACTCCGGCACAAACGCTATACACGCTATGAATAAGCATTGTTTAAAAGTTCCTATAAAGCAGCGCTGATCGCCTCCATCTGCATCCTCACATACATCAGACCATCTAACTAAGAACCAGCGTCTTTAACAGATCAGAAGGAGGGAAAACATGATGTTTTTAAGTCAGTGCCAAGACTGTAGCTCTTCGTGGTGCAGCATTTAACAGGCAAATTGGTATTGTCCTGAAGGTGTCTCCTGTTATAAGCCTGATCAGAAGCAACGCCAGTACAGGCAGAAAGTTCAACCAGCAGACCAGCAGTTGACAGTGAATCCACCTGAAGTCGGTTCACTTGCCGTTTTATTTCAGGAATTGAACTCTCACACGTTTCTGAGACTGACATCAATCTTGCAATAAATTACAGTGAGTGGAATAAATGGTGAGGACATCACCTTTATGGGTAAAAGTAAGAATATATCAAGTAACCTTTCACCTTGCCAGTGTAATTGATTTGTGTGTGTGTGTGTGGAGGGGTGGGGTGGGGGGTGGGGGGCTCTGATGCCCTCGAGGTCGTCGTTTGACAGACCGTCCTGCCTATACCTCCGCATCACTGACAGAGGTCCAAGGGCTCCCCAGAGAAACACCGTGACTGAATGAGCTGAATGAGCCGCATGAAACGGCGCGACACTGACAGTTTGTTTACAGGATCTCTATGTGTGATTTGTGGCTGTGAATACAAACCATGCGTAATTAGTGGTGTTGCCTACCAGACCGGCGCCAACAAATGGCTGTAGATCCTGGAGATGTGTGATGTGTCTGAGTGTGTGTCGTGCTGTGTGTATAGTGCATAACACTCGAGAAAAAGCCGTGTCCGTTTGGTAAAAAAAAATGATGAGCTCTGATGTGACAGTTGTAAATTGAAGTGAAGGACGGTAAATTATTTGACCCAGAAAAGCTTTCAGTCAAGGCAGGAGCATTTGAACTTGCAGGGGTTCAGCTGGTCAGCATAACAGTGCAGTGTTGAGCATAACCCCCGCCCCCCACCCCTCGATAGCTTACAAAGTATAAAAGGTCTGCTGATAAAGTAGCTACAGTTCGCCTGTTGTGGAGGAGTGCATCAAATAGGCAGTGATCTGCATGTTGGACAGCGCCCTCTCGCACCTTTGCTTTTATGCAGCAAGTATTTTCAGGACCGCGGACAGCGCCGTGTCGCACCTCCAGTTAAAAACAGCAGTCTGACTCAGTTGAGCGCCACAGACCGCGCCTCCTCCTACGCCGCTGGTGAGTATCACCGTTTGGCTAAGGCCACCAGACAGATGCAGGGCCTTACATAAAACAGCATCTAATATTGTAGCCTGTACAACAGTGATGGTAGAGATGAAAAACATCAGGGATTGGGGGGGGTGCGGGTGGGGGGGGGGTACAGAGACATAGATACGCTATGTGTTTATTAATTGTGACTGTTCCTGTGGATTGAGACATCCATGGGCCCCTAGGTGTTCAATCTGTAAGAACCCTTAACAATGCAGTTTGTTACAGCTGATATTTGTTGTGGGGTTGGTGAGCTTTTTGAGCATGACCACTGCCTGCCCGATCACATTTAACTGTCTAATGACAACAGTACAGCAAAGTATAACACTACAGTACATGTAACATATTCAAATCAAGTATATGTGTAAATGTGAGCGTGCGTGGTCGTTTGTCTTTATGTGTGATAGAGTGGCGACCTATCCAGGATGCACCCCGCCTCTCAGACCAGTGTTGACATTAATGCTGTAACATGTAGAAACAGTAAAAGGCCATATGTTGCAGCATACATCAGTGCCCACAGGGTGAGTGGGCTCTGCAGTTGACCTTTAACAGACGGAGAAGCTACAGTATGTTCTCAGTCTGCAGGAGGATTCAGGGCTGAAGCGTACACCTGTGTGTCGGGTTCAAAGTGTACTGTGTCCAGCACAGATGGTATTAGAGGAATACCAGCTGATTTCATTCGGAGTGGTATGAAACTAGGTGCTCTGATTTAAGTGACATTGAACACAACCTTAGCCACACGGTTACCACAAAGTGAAACCATGAGAACGCGCTGATGTGCCTCTTTAACCTCCTTTAAATTAAGTGAGTTATTAAGTTTCCTGATACTTAATAACTAATTATACCAACTGAAAATTAGCTGACTTAAAAAAAAAAATCTAATAATTAATTCTAAGCCACACAACATGCTTATCCTATAAGTATTAACACAGCACTGTGAATGTGGAGAATAAATGTCACTGTTAAATGTGAAAATGTAGCTCATGACTTACTATCATCTCTCAGCCCTTTCTTCAGAGGGTTGGTACTGTAATTGGCCTTGGGGGACAATTTGTTGTAAGTGTTCACATTAAATATTTACAGGGCTGAAAGAAAATATGACGCCACCCGTCACCCAAAGATTGCACTGCAAACATAAAGAATTGATGACTTCTCGCCTATCTACTGCAACAAGGATAACACTCCCCACCAGCAGGGATGAGATATCCACATATTTTCAGTCACAGTCTCAGCACCAGCCTGTATGAAATATTGAAAGGGCTTTAATGAGACAGATGCACTTGTGCGATCACTGCATGTGTTTGTTAAGTACCCATAAAGCCCAGGGGTCCTTAGTGCTACTGATACAGATGGGCACCTGCTTGACCTTGGTGCAGATGTCTTGAAATGCCATGCACATCAAACCATGCATGACAGGACATGCACTGACACAAGTCCATATGCGTCCATGTGCACTTTTAAGTAATGCATTTACTATACATCCATATACTGTATGGCCCACTGCGCCTATGTTATACTTTGCTGGATTCCACTTTCACAAAGTAAAGAGAGAGATGTTCTTTTCAGAACACTGAAATGAACACTTTTAAAAAAAGATTTTTTCAAAATGTATTCAAGATGTCAAAATTATCAAGGACCAGGCAACTCATTTCCCCTAGATGTGGGCTCCCAGACATTCAGAGGAATCTGTGCTAATAGTCATTCTGCAAAGTGTAAACCCTGTTTAATGTATATTATCTCTGAACATTAACATTGTAAATATTGCATGTACTGCATTTATTGACTGTCGCCAGTCAGGAGTTGGAAATTATAGTTTGTTAGCATAATATGGATTGTAATGAATCTTCTGCAAAACTCAGCATCTTTTCATCAATCTGGTTAATACGAGTAGCGTAGTATTGATTATTCAGAATGTAAATTTAGAGCAACAGCAGAAATTCTGGCACATAACCCAATTTATCCAGGAAATAGAATATGGTCCATTTACTGTGTGTAGAACTGAGGACTTAAATCTAATGTGATGGATAAAATTCATGTGATCACACAGCATGAGATGATCAGGTATTCCGGAGTTGTTAAACATATCCCTTTTATCACAAATGCAGTATCTTTGAATGTGGTTGGTGACAGTATAAACTTATTTGTTTAAAACAAAGTCTTTGAATAATATCAGTCACATTCTCAAATGTATTCAGAAGAATGAGTGCAGATCACAAAGACACATGTTCCACTAATATTCCCGTCCAGCCATCAAACTGATTGAAAAAGCATGCTGGAGTCTGACTGAGAGGTGAGGTAATATTGTTTAAGGGGACAAAAGATTGCTTTGTTCTGTTTTCCGTAGCTGCTCAATTTCTTATTAAGTTGTCGGGCATGAAGATTGTTTCAGGTACTTGAAAGACGCACATTTAGGTTTAGAGGCAAAAAAAATAAAAAATAAAAAATTGTTCGGGTCCCACTGGAGCAAAGGAGTGCCAGGGGAATGCCGTTATTGGTTTAAGATGTCTGGCCTCGAAGACTCCCAACACTAGCATGGTTGAGAGTGATGGAAATGAACACTTGCTTTGGTGCTTTTCTGTTTAAACAACAAGTGCAGTGGGGGGAGAAAACCTAATTGCTTGTCATTCTCAAAGAGGGAGACAGAAGCCAGTGTAAGCAATTGGCTAGATTTTTCAGTAATTTACTTGATCCCCTCTCTCACCAGGGATCACGATAAACAATCAGTTTGAACAGACTACCATTTAGGACCTTGTTAAGTTGTGTTTCCTCACTCTAGATTGGTGTGATGATTGCACCAGAAACATACCCAGCTGGGGTCGATTTATAGATAAAAGCTAAGTACTGTAAAGGAACCAGCACTTATAAATCAGGAAGCTGTTTAAAACATCATTTGGCACAAACATTTAGTTTATTTACGTTGTGCTAATTATACAGTACTTTTAGTGCTGTAATATAAGTGTCACTGAACTTAGACGGTTTTATTGACACAAATAAACCAAAGCTATGATAATGCTGTTTGAGAAGACTTTCTTAGTTATATGCCAGCCTGACGTACTGTACATTAGGTCTGATTTCACATAAAAACAGCCAAAAGTGATGTAAAGCAGTAAGCTGGCTTAATGCTAATGCTCCTCTGCAATGTCTCCACATGTGAGGACAGCAAGGACAGACCTCTGCTCAGTCAGTCAGGAACAAACAGCTGGATTGGCTAATGTCCAGTTGAGACGGCTTTAAACAGTCCACTGACCTGGCAGTGACCCTTTGGCCAAAAATCTCTTTTCCTGGTGCCAGTCCAATGAGAGCAAAGCAGCATGATCACAATAAAAGCCCTCCCCCCAGACATGAGTGTGATTGAGCCACTTGTGGTAGATTTCTGTCCTTGTCTCCATGCCAAAAGCTTATTACACAGCAACCATACCAAAACACCGGCTCTCATCAAACCTCTAAAAAAGAAAAAAAAAAAAAAAAGTATCTCTGCCATTATTATCAGTGAGCCTGCCTGTTAAAAGCTTTTATAAATATTGCGGGATGAAACTGTGCAGCTGGATGACAGTCAAAGAGGAACAGAGAGATGCGAGTCTACATTTCCCGGGAGAAAGGACACTAGGTAGCAGGCTGGACAGAGTGTGCTCTGCCAAGCAGCAGCATAACCTCCACCAAGAGAATTAAACAAATGAAAAGCTGCAGGAGCAGGGGTGTAAATCT